CTTGCCTCAAAATGTTGGCCTGCAGCATTCTCAAGGTCCTTCGGAAGGAATTCGATTGAGCCTAAACCTTTGAACACTATCTATATTCTGATAAAGTCTAAATTTATATTTTCAGACCTAATCTCGGCTCTGAAGTCTGGACTCATCTATCACATTGCTTATCTAATATCTCTTCCTCGAGTCTACACCCCAAACCTCTAACGTCTAGACTCATATAGCCAACTGTCTATCTGATACTTTCTTAATCCCATACTCCCATTTCCCGCTAAATTTGTTGAAGGTGTGAAAAACACTGAGGGCTCAAGCCAAGAGCCTACGTGTCCCCTTCGATCTCTCTTTACCTGTCTCTATCACATCCAGTTTATCAGCTAAGTCTATTAGGTCTGCCCCCAAATATAGAGGATCATATTTTCTGAAAATAATGACTGTTTCATCTCTCTTTTCAGTTTCCCTATTTTTCTTGTCTTAATGCGTTAATGAGGATCTCCGGGAATCTGCGGAAGGCAGCGTTAAGAATAAATGTTCTCGCATTCTTGAATTTAATGCGAATGCTTCTAACTTTTTGCTACTTGAGTATAATGCTTGCTGAACATTTCTGGCAGATATGATGGTTGTTACCGGATGTTTCTTTCTAGTTTACCGTACTACAAATATTTAATTGTGACCGGATCTTGGATTTTTCAAATAATTTTTTAACATGATCCTAAAGTTTTTCTCTTGAAATCTGTGAATCTGGCGAACATATTAGATATACTAGTATTGTGTCATCCTTGCAGTTTTGAGATTCGTCCGTTCCCCCAGCCACTTCCTCCGGACCTGGAGAACTCCGAGGTCACTCCGGCTCTGTAAAGCACTTGGCACAGGGCAGGTTCTTGATTTTCTCTCACCAGGGATACCATCTCCCCTGATCTTTAGGAAGAGCCTGCCTTCTGTTCTTCCAATGTTGTGTTAGAGTTTTAGAAAAGATCTCGTCTTCCTAGTCATTTAGGGCCAGGGATTGGAAGGCTGGAGGCTGTGCTTAGAATGCCATCTGAAGGACAGGCAGGAGAGGACTCGAGTTGTTTTGGTTGATGATAAGATTTGAGGGGTCATCGTGACTCAGGGGAATGCCCTTGATCCAGAATTTAATGACAAGTAGCAGGACTGGAAGAAGTGACCATTCAGAGAGGAAAAAAAAAAAGCCTCTCCAAAATTAATGTTGGCTGAAGTTCAAGTTGGGAGAGAAAAGAAATGGGTATGGAAAAAAGTGAAGATAGACTGTAAAATGTCAAGATCTAAGGAATTTAATTAAAAACTAATTATTTCCTTTGAAAGTTTCCATCATCATCCCCCACAAAAAAAATCTTGTGAAAACATAATCATAAGTACTGAATCTTGACTATATAAAAGGGGTGGGGAGGAAACCAGGGGAAGAAAGTTCCTTCTCATCCAGTCTGACCACCCACACGACCAAAACTTGTGTAGTCAGTTACAGGTAGAAAAAAAATGGAGACAAGATTAAAGTCATATTGCAACTTTCTTCAGTACTAATGAGAGAATTACTTTGAAATTCAGGAACTATCATAGGCCTCTCTAGGATGTTCAACGGATATAGGAGTTGGGAATCTTTAATCAGTCTCGAATACCTTTACCGAGTCCACAAATACCTCTGGAAAACTTTTGATGTGCCAGGCACTGTGCTGTGTGTTTGAGATAAAACTCTTAGAAATACAGACATCAGCCCTGCCTTTCTAGGGTGTACAGCCTAGTGGGGAAAGAGAACATTAAACAGGCATTAACTGCAAATGTGATGAGAAGCATTAAGTAAATCATGGGTGGTCTGACTGCAGGTAAACAGTATTCACAGATCTTTAAATAGACTTGAAAGATGAGACACCCAAGCTTTGGTCAGCCTTTCTGACCAGACTTCTGTTCTTCCAAAGCTGGAAATAAACAAATTCTTTGTTTTTATCCTCTCTATCCAAAGACACCTTTAAAAACAAGAGTGTATGGTTTCAGACTCATGGAATTCTAGAGGTGGAGGCTTCGGTGACCACTGGCTGTCTTTACCATGAGTGGAAAACTGGCTTGTGTTGTCACTGCCATGACTCATGTCATGTGGGCGCCCACCGACTACGAGTCGGGGACAGAGATGTGAAACCAGGAGCGTTTGTTCTGGGTCTGTGAGAAGAGGCAGGGGACTAACAGCAAACTGGAGAGGACTTGAGGACGGGGGAAATATCTTAGGTGGACTTTTCCAACTGCAGGTGAAATGCAACTCAAACTGGTAGAAGCAAAAGGAAGCGACTTAGTGATTTAAGAAACAAAAAAGTCTTGGAGTTAACTTGGAGTAAGACCAGTGTTCTCAGGGATAGTGATCTTTGTCTTTGAGTTAAAATCACTTTCCTTGGTGTCGGTTGCATTGTTCATCAGCCTCTCTTTGTGTGAAGATAATATTATGAGGCAGCTCTTGCCTTTAATAGCTCATAGAAACCATAATCTCAGGAAAAAAAAAATCTTCCTGGGCAGGGACTGTAAGGTTTTCTAAATGGCCACCAGGGGGAGAAAGAGAGCAACACAGGTGAACACAGTCTACAGTGTCTAAGATTCATTCAAGATAGAAATTACATTCATGTGCCACTTAAGTGAACATCACAGAGTGCACCTAGAGGGTAGAGCCTACTACACACCCTAGCTATATGGCGTAGCCTATTGCTCCTGGGCTACAAACCTGTAAGGCATGCTACTGTAGTAACACAATGGTAAGCATTTGCAACACAATTGTAACACAATGGTAAGCATTTGTGTATCTAAACATATCCAAACATAGATAAGGTACAATAAAAAATAGTATAAAAGATTTTAACGAGACTATAATCTTATTAGGCCACTGTCACATACGCAGTCTGTTGTTGACCAAAATGTTGTGCAGTGCATGGCTGTACCTTAATTCCCTTTAGGAGTGCTTCTTATTATGTTTTCATAATATTTGTCAGAAATAGGAGGTTTGATGGTTCCATTTAGTGTGACCAACCACTAATACTTTTAAAATTATTTTTAAATTATTCTTTTAAAAATAATTTGCCTGATCTTCTAACAAGTTAATGGCTGTCCTGTGCTCAGGGGAGAAGATACAGGTTGGATCCTTTTTATTTATCTCTTTAAAACTTAAAAGTAGCCATTACTACTTCCCTGCTGTATCTTAGGGTTATTTCTTTTGAAACTTACCCGATTTGCTAAGAGTTTGGGTATTTCAGATATTGGATCAAATAACCTCTAAGAATGTCTGTGGTCCCTCATCCTATGTTCTCAGACATGAGGCTGGAGGTTGAGGATTCCTTAAGAATGAGCAAAGCACACCTGGATGCAAGCCGCGTGGTTAGGACAAGCTTCTTCTAGGATTCCACCAAGCTATTATTCGAAGTATAGTATCTTTAATATCCCCCAGACTAGGTAGGGCTAGGTCTTGGCACTGAGAGATGTCTGTCTTAGAAGAATGACCTGTATCATTAAGCAATTAATTGCATTTTTACTAACTAGAAATAATCTGTTCGGTTTTTAGCAGTTCGGATCTGGTCATTTTGTGATTCAGTGGCCATATACATAGTTTCATACATGTAGAGTTGCAGATCCAATAACTGTGCAGTATGTTGGCTTAAAATGTGGGCTCTAAAGTCCAGGTTCCATGGTAGCTCTGTATCTCTGCTTCTTTCTCTGCAGAACGAGGACAGTAATAGTATTCTCTAGGACTGTTGTGAGCATAAATAAATAAAAGCACTTATCATAGTTCCCGGCAAACAACAGTTTATGATGATTCACTTGCGTTGACATCCTCGGGAATCGATGTACTCTGCAATATAGATTTTTAGGTTCTTTGCTTTGAACGGGATTATATAAATGCACAGTATTTGTTAAAACTCCCCAGTTGGCTCCATCTGTTGTATCCGTCTACTGACTTTTCTCATCTATAACTTAATTAATTCAATACTGAATGGTTCCCAATGGCCATATATTTCAACTTCCCTGTTCAAACTGCGGCTTGTTCAAGATAAATAAAAGTATGTGGCTGAGAGCAGACTTGGTTCTATTAAAGAGGGTGTCATTTGTGAGGACGGCCCGGTCTCATGGGTGCTACTCGCATTATCTCACTGAAGCAAACAGCGCCCTGGGTCCCCGTCTCCGCAGACCCAAGAAAGCACCGTTTCGCCTGCATG